GTCTAGGCCTAGACAATCTGACAGTATCCTGCCCACGCAAACATACGAAGCTTTCCTCAAACAATTTCATGATGCGCTGGCCACGGCAGACGACACTCAACGGTACCCTATCTGCTGCGTCGACCAGGGTGGATGGGGCTTGGATGCTACTGCTCAAGCCTTCCCGTTTTCTTATTCTCCCTTACGCTTTCTCATCCTTATCGTCCCGTTCCAGCTTCACTTTTATCACCCTGTTTTCAACCCCCCAATTCTTGGCCCTCCCACACCTTGCTTCAATAGTCGCTTGTCTTTTAGTTTCAACTCACATGTGAACGCAAAGCGACACTCCTGTCCTGTCGACAGGTCCATGCCCAACCAAGTGGTCAAGCCCAGATCATGGGTTTCCATTTGGAGCCCTCGATCATCCTTTAGATTGGCATGCTTCAATAATGTACGCACATTGCTTAAGATCGGTCAACAGGCAGCACTTGCCCGAACATTAGAGACCCTGTCCATCGATATCTGCTGCTTATCGGAGACCCGCTTGCAAGGCTCGAGCTCTGTGCTCACTTTGCGATCCCCTTCAGGTGACACTAGCAGCACTTTCTCATTGTGCCTATCCGGTTACGATGCAGCTTCGAGCACCGGCCAATCCGGTGTTGGTATTGCCCGGAGTCCCCGGGCTGAAGCTGCCCTGTTTGACTGGATCTCAGTCAGTAGCCGGATGGGTGCGGTCCGATAGGCTGGCTCGTTCATAGCTTCGAAGTCGTGCGGGACTAATAGGTGTCTATTCGTTATCGCTGCCTATGCATCCACAACCTCTAGCGATCATTCGGTACAAGACGACATTTATCGTCAACTGAACGAGCTCCTACGCCACGGAAGAAACACGGACAATGTAGTGTTGGGTGGGGATCTGAACGCTCAAGTGGGAAAATTATCCACTGATAAACTGCACATGTGCAGACACCGACTATGCACTTGTAAGTGCTGACCTGCGGATAAGTTTTGACGGACACCTAAGATGACGTTGTGAGCGCATCGACATCCGCCAACTGGTGAAACCAGCTGTTCTGAATGCCTATCAAAGTACGCTGTCATGCAAGTTGAATAAGCGCTCACTGGAAGCAACTGAAGTTCACTGGTCTCATATTCACCAGACCTTACTAACAGCAGAATAATCCTTATGTGATATGTCTAATCGCCAACATGGGCATTGGGCCTCTTCGCAGTCTCTCGAACTTATCGATGCTCGCCGGCACATTCCGGCTGGAAGCGAACACAGTGAAACCCGCACAGAGCTTCGGGCAAAACTCGGTGCTAACCTGAAGAAAGACTGCGATCCTGGTAGTCTCATCGTGCCTCAGAGATGGAAATGGCCGCTGCCCTTGGTAATCATCGTATGTTATTCCGGCTGATCCGGGGAACGGGCAGCAGGTGACCTAGGGTTAGTGAAACTATACGTGACCAGAGTGGACAGACTATCCACAACTTGTTAAAAAGTTTGCAGCATTGGGCTGCGCACTTTGATAGGCAATTTAATCGGTCAGTATGGTTAGATCTTTCGCCGACCACAGACCGCCTCGCTCTCTGGGCTGTCCCTTTGGATCTACCCTCTCGCTCAGAACTCGAACGTGAGAACGCACTGTTGAAGTTAAGTAAAGCCGCGGGACCAGGTGGTTTTCCCCAGCAATCTTCGTATTCTGGGAACCTGCTCACGTGTATCATTTACACGAGTTACTAGGGAAACTGTGGGAGTAGGAAACTGTCCCAACCGACTGGAGCCGCTCCGTCATAGTTCCAATCCTCAAGGGAGGCTCACGATCGGTTTGCGGCAGCCATAGTGAAATCAGTCTGATCTCACTCGCCTCCAAATTGCTCGCCTCTGTTATCCTTCACAGACTGATTGGCACTTGTGAAATCCAGATTCGTGAAGAGCAAGCCGAGTTTCGTCAGGGTCGTGGCTGCATTGACCAAATCTTCACCTTGCGTCAGTTGTTTTTGGGGCAACGTCACACATATTGACAGCCCACCGTCCTCGTGTTCCTCAACATAAAAGGTGCCTTCGATTCGGTTGATCGATATGCTCTTTAGAATTGTCTACTCAGGAAAGGTGTGCCCGAGAAATATGTAAATATTATCCGAGCATTATACACGCGTAGCACGGGCAGAGTGAGGGCTTATTGCAAGCTGTCGCCACCCTTCAATATCTCCAGCGGTGTGAGACAAGAATGCCCGCTGTTACCTTTCCTCTTCAACTTTGCTATTGACGAAGTCATGGTGATTGCATTTACAGGACATGACTTGGAAGGTATGGAGCTACTCCCAGGAGAACGACTTCCTGACATTTAGTATGCAGACGACATTGCCCTCATCTCTGACAGCCCTCAAACGTGTTAAGCTGCGCTGGACAGATTAGCACTGACTGTCAGCCGCTTCGAGCTTTGCTTTGCACCATCGAAATGCAAAGCGTTCCTCCAAGATTGGCAGGGATCGCCTCTTGTGCTAACCCTTAGTGGGGATCAGCTAGAACTCGTTCAAAAATTCAACTTCCTGGGAAGTTGTATCAGTGCCCGTAGGATTAAAGATGCGATCTCGAACCGTACAGCAAAAGCTCGGGACGATTTTGCTAAACTTCGTCACTTCTGGCGCCAGCGAGACATCACTGTGGCCATGAAGAGTGTAAAAAGGTGAAGAGTGTAAAATGCAGCGATACGTTCGACCCTACTGTACGATTGTGAAACCTGACCCCTTAGATCAGTGGACATAAAGAGGCTAGTTAGGTGCGACCATCGGTGCCTTCGCAATTTAGCACACATCTGGTGGGAACACCACGTGAGCAACGAGCGTGTTCGACGCCTTGTTTAAGGCACAGGAGAAGTAAAAGAACCGCTCAGCACCGCCATTTCACGCACCAGCCTCTGATGGCTCGGCCACGTGTTACCCATGTCAGCCCACCGACTCCCGCGACGTGTGTTGTTTGCGCGCCGGTGTGGATGGAAGAAGAGGAGGAGTGGCCAAGCGATAACTTGATCGAGAGGAATGAAGGCACTCACTTCTGAGCTGGCCTCGGTTGAAGCGTCTCGGCTTCTTGATTAGGGTCGGAAATACGATGAATACGTTTGGCTGGATACACTCGTTGATATGGCTAGGAGCCGAGCTCAGTGGCGTACGTGCTGTGAGTTTCTTTGTCCCATCCCATCCTTCTTAACCTCCGCTCCAACTACGGTCTCACTATTTAGCCTTATATAATTTTGCATATTAATTTTTTTGATGCACAGTAGCCGGCTGGTAGCTTAACGGAACGATGCCCATCCGTTACCGGTAGCTCAGCTGGTTTGTACCTGTTGCGTTTTTCTCCCTTTTTCTGTGTATTGCGGTACAGTAGCTGAGGTGTTTCCCACATCTAGCACGGAATATTAGCAAAGACGGGGGGCAGAATACCAGTGTTTTCATTAACATACTTGTTTTCTTTGTTAATGTTTCAGACCGTTTACAGTGTGCTCAGTTCCCACTGCCCAATACTTAGGATGTTTTAGTGAGCAGAATATAATACCACCCCAACAGTTTTCTTACAAAGGGGGATTGGAACTTCGTAGGTTATAATGCATCACAGCTGGACTCAGCCAGTCACACATTCAGAAAAACATTGGATGATAATCTACCTTTCCGCTTATGCTGAATGCTCACCTAAGGTCTTGTGTGAAATATGTTACCTAAAACTGGACCCCCTGGTGTAAGCACGATGTTAATGTGCTTGGAGTCCCACAAAGTAGTGCAGCCAAAATTGTTAGGTATCGGTTCACCTACGCCAACAACTCAGGCTGTGAGCACTTGGAGTGTAAAGTGAATGCCGACCTCTGCGGGATCTCATCATGGTGAACTCAATACCGTTGAACCCCAATCACATCTGCGGCTATCTGTTGCAGTTCAGCCAAAATAAGAACTTGAAAGACCACCATCCCAAGGTTGCTCGGCACTACAATCCAACTGATTGTTGATAACGGTTTTTTCATTTCGTGCAACGCTATTCCAACACATATCATTGTTGTCCATACATTGATGCTTTTCGAAAGCCGATTTGACGATACGCTATGTCACTTAAAGTAAATAATATAGCACCCTTCAATCGAATGAGGAAGTAATGCAAAACAAACAGAGTGCGCACCATCTGTCTGCGTAACGTCGCTGTGGGAAATATGTGTCTGTGTTTAAGTGAACAGCTTGGCGAGACATAAGAAACCCGAATTTTCCTCTTTTTCCTGTCATTTTGACCCTGATCATCCTACTTGTCAAGCACACACTTTCTAAATCCGTGTTCATTGTCCATCCTTTCGGGTATCACCTGCACTATGTAGTGTATATCGTGGCTAGAACCCGCAAACCTATTATTACGAGTCAGTGGCTAAGATTAATGGGCTACGGAGACAACGAAAACCCGCTTGACTGTTACTGGTTCCGATATAGCGTGTAGGTAGCCCAAACCGCTTGTAATGTCGTAATTTCATTGGCGTCTTAAACCTCAGTTGAGGTACTATGGGTTTCATTTCGTACGCTTATTTAGCATATTCAAAGAAATGTACACGCGCACTGAAATAACTTCGATCAGTGTGCAGCCCACTCAGTCTTCACGTGGTGACACGCAGTGATAATAGACTATGGAGACAGCGAGAATTTTAAACTCATACTTGGGTGCCGTCAGCTCGAACTTTCATAGTCGAAAACAAATAGTCTTGTAAAAGTTGGTAGGAGATCTACAAGTTGCGTAACGTTTTAATACAGTATATCTAAGGTTCTCCGTAACAGACTCTACAATTAGAGTAAGACCGCCTATAAACATGTCTGAAGTATTATCCACTTCAAACGATGACAACTGTCAACAGTACGGTCAGTGGTGTTTGTGTTAACAGGAATTTAAGTACAGCTTATGAGCATTTCTAGTGGCTGCAATTACGCATAAGCTGAGAAAGTTAAAGTAAGGCATTGAACATTAAGCTGTTTATGATGAACGAGAAACTTACGCTGACATTTCGGTAAATCGGTTCAAACAATAGCTGAAATGCAACAAAAAGATATGTTCCGTAAACTCATACCTAGGACCGATGCGAGATGATTATTCCAGAATAGTCTGAAAACCCTATAATGTCATCATAAGATTAATAGTCAATACTATATTTTTTACAAGAAACGCCGGTAGTGGTAGGAGCAAAGAGTTGCGTGTATTCGGAAACGGCTCATCACACCTCGATCAAAAAATTTTGGGAACAATGTAGCGGTCTAGAGTTTTCCCCTGGTTTATCTGAGTATGCTGGGTAAAATGCCAAATAAAATTAACATTTACTATACACTCTTTTGTTTGCAAAATACTGAAATGTGTGTTGAATCCATTTCTTTGACCCAACGCAAGTGGCACCATGATTGGATTAAACGCATTGGTCAATCGCGAGGTTCCTCACATCTTCACTATGCGTCTTTCGGTGAGGTATTTTTAGTTCCTACACGGGACTATTGTACACACTAACAATATACCACCGTCTCGTCACTTCTCAGCCTTCTCTTCAAGTACCGGGTAAGGTAATTGCCGATCATCGGAGGGATATTCTAAGTCAGTTAGCGTAAGCCGGCCACTATTGCTACGATCATAAATCTAGTATACATATGTATTGAAAAAATAGGAACATGAACTTTCCGACAATGGACCCGAGAGGTATAGCAAAATAAGTAGCAGAAAAACCATCTTTTAGTTAATTGCGCTGCTGAGTGCACTTGTAATTCAACTTCTAAGCACTTGAGGCGTTCAGGGTAGCAACCGATTTAAATCATTACACTAAAAGTAACTATCCAGAGGGCAGAATTATCACAGCACTTTCAATGCAGAAAGAAACTTGACAGAGGCGTGAAACGGAAAAAGAGGTTGCAGCGTCAGGCAAGCAGAAGACGATCAATATTCCAGTCGGCATTTTGTACAACGCATCGATCATATATTTCAGATTACATCAATTGTTGGATGGTTAGCTCGCAGACGGACACACGTTTATAAATACGGAAAGCCGAGAGGAAGCGCACAGCAGCAGTGGTCGTGAGGACAGTCAAGTAATCGAAACAAACCGCCTCAGAAAAAAGCTACGAACTAGATTGGAACATGTGCTATCAAAATTTGACTGTAGAACAATATAAAAATCAAGTAAAAGAAGACGCACGTTCGGCCTCCTACCTGCAGAAGAGAAACCAGTCTAGTAAACGAAAGCAACTTATTTTCGTTTTCGTAGGATTTCGCTAACAAGGAATGCACTTTGATCTAAACAATCGACCTTTAAAAATGACTTGTAAGCGAGCAAACTAAACTAGGAAGCAAGAAGTGGCTCAGGCTGTGGACAGAAATCTTGGCAATTAACATAACGGCAAAAAGAGGAAATTATGGGAGTAGACATAAACAAGCAAAAAAGTATAAAGACGTTGTGTGCTTAGTTTACCCAGCCGCGTCAGCAGAAAGAACTCGCACCGGCTCTGCACACAAACGCAAGTCTGAGGCAAAGTACAATTAGCTGGGTGTTTAAATACTCACTCTTCCACTCGATCAGTTGCCTGATCGACCGCACTGAGACAGGCGAGCCAATTTGCCCCAGCTTTCAGCCACATCACATCCTTTCCTTTTTCTTATTTCTCGTGGTTTTGGTGCTGCAGGTTCGGTATTGCCTTCAACTGGGACAAAGCTTTCGAACCTTGGTTGCGATCTGAGTTGCTTTACTCGGATGATGCGGATTCTCGCCCGAGTAAAGACCCTGTTCACCATATCGCCTTTTCAGCCGCATTTGATGGCTTCCCTATATTTTCCGACCCTCAGATGATCTCTTCCGACACCCTTCAACTCTAGGTATGTGTTTAAACCATATATCGTCTTCAGGCGGTAGAGAATGAGGCTGTCTTGCATCGTGTATGAGGCGCGTTTTTCACCACCTTTAACGCTCTCGAAGACAGTTTTGCTGATCACTAGTGAAAATTTGTTCAGGTTGTCAATGTACAATGGCTCCAGAGTCAGTTTGTAGTTGAATTGGTTCGCCTAGAGTCGGTAGTTTTGCAACAAGACATCCCTCCTCGTCGTGATCACAGTGTTTATGTACTGAAATCACTTACGCTTCTTGCCGTTTCACACTACCAAGTGATCTAATGTTGGCCGATTGACAGCAACGGGCGAACTGGTTTAACCGACTTTCACAATAATCACCAAGTCTCTCGAGCGTTTCTATAAGATCCGGTTCTTTGTTTTGATCGAAGTAATTCCAGGCGTCTAGTATCCGCATCGCATTGTGATCGATGGCGTACCTGAACATGGCTAACTGATCATGGCTAACTGATACAGCGTAGGATATTCATTCAACTTGATCAGTGTCCCGAAGTTCATCCACTTCACTCTCCATGGGCGCCAGTTTTCGGGCAGCAAAACCTCCGTCATCTGTAATGGAGTCGGCATCGCTACAAACAGCTGCCAGCCAAAGCGAAGCAGATGATTAGGGTTCTTCATTTCCTCTTTCACCATATTGTGTGCCTGGTCCACCCAGCCGCGCCAACAGTAAGAACTCGCACCGGCTCTGCACACAAATGCACTATTCCCAAGTCTGAGGCAAAGTACAATTAGCTGGGTGTTTAAAACTCACTCGTCCACTCGATCGGTCGCCTGATCGACCGCACTGAGACAAGCGAGTCCCTGCGCCCCAGCTTTCAGCCACGTCACAAAAGGCAGTTAAGAAAACACTAAAATAATTCAATCTTGTTACCATTGCCTGGTGCACAAAAAGCGCATATGCGCAAACAGTGGTAATGTGAGAAAACAGTAGAAAGGAATGTGGGCTATGAAATGTGAGATGAGTTGTTAACCAGGAATACTGAAGGTCCATGCACGATTAGAATGCTGGGAAAAGGAGTATGTGGTAATGATGGAATGAGTAAATTAAAGGAAGAGATTAATGACTATTGTAACCGGTACAGGATGTGCACGTATGTGCCCCATATGACACAAGCATCTGTGGTGTAAGTAAATTCATAATGCTACTTTTGGTTTCACGCTCATAGTAATAAGTTTAGTGACAACTGTCCTACCTCTCGCCTATTTTTCCCCCTGGATGGAAACGTTTGATCCGCCTTCTTTTTCATCTTCGGGGTACCCCATTCCCCGATATATAGTTCCTGTGGTCATTTTGTTTCATATGTGATTCTGCTGTTTCTTAATTAATCAGGCATTGCTTATTTTCAAAGTTAAGGTTTATTTTACTTGGGATGACGTCAGATGACTTCAAAGAATGTTGATGTTCCGGCTTTGAAGCACCCGGCGTGTGTCTTGGATTGCAACACGCAGTGTCAATCCTGGCTTCGATCGACTTTGAAGTCAGCCACTGCCAGTACGGTTACTGTGACCGTCAAAGAATCGGAAGGTTGCGGTGTGACTTACGCTTATCCCTGCACTCCACGACCGACGGTTTCGTTCTGGTTTGAATTCATCAGGCAGAGACAGCTGAGCTGAAAGTAGAACTCGGCGCATAGTGCTTAGGGGATATCGCTATAATCACTACGCAGTTGAGTTCCGTGAACAGTTAGAAGTTAATTTTCGGATTTTTGAGCATCCACCGTGTCTTGCATTGCACTACAATTGATATTGCGCGTCGCAATCCAAGGCACACGAGGTGTGCTCCAAAATCCGAAAATTAACTTCTAACCGCTGTGTCAAGCACTGCTCGCGGAGCTCAATGGCCTAGTGATCATGGCGATAGACGCCAAGCACAATGTGCGAGTGCCAGTCCCAGCCCCCCTGTCTCTGTCTGATGATTCCAAACCAGAAAGAAGCCGTCGGTCGTGGAGTTCAAGGATGGGAGAGAGCCACGCCAAAACCCTATAAAGCATTTTGTTGAATCCTCACTTTCTTAGTCAAATTCCTGCACCCATGTCATCCACTCAGTATCAAGCCATTTCGTACAAGGCATACGTTTTTATCTACCGTCTTGAGTTTCGGCATAAGAACTATGTAGTCCGTGTCAGGTATATTATAGCTGGCTTCTGGTGAGTGCAGCACCCATAGTGCACGTTTTGCTACGCAACTTTAAGGAGGAAATACGCAGTTAAATATGGTCTATTCCAACAAAAAGGCTTCGATTCTAGTTCACTTTATCGGATCCAGCATGATATGAGGGATTTGGGCTACTGACGACTCTCAGCAGAACGAAATAGCCGTCTAGCACTTTCCTGGATGTGTGGTGGCTGTCTAGCTAAGCTTAGCTATAGCGAACCTTCTCAAAACACAATAAATCCTCCTATCACCAGCTAAAAATAGTTGTGGACGGGAGAACCTCAATACAGAGGGCATCATCTTATCTGGAAAATTTGGGAGGGTTGGTAATACGAAGCTGGATGGTCATAAGAGGAGCAGGTGAAAAGGAGAAGATGGAGGCATCAGTAGTTACGTTTTCGAGTATCCACCTAACCGTATACAGCATGGGATGTGACCACTTAAGAGCTACGCAACGTCCGATGCAGTCACTGCTCCTCCCTTGCGGTGAGTACTGAGCTGTAAGCCGATCTTTTGGCTTGCCACACTAATCGAGTTTCTTAGATGAAATATTGTGGAAAACAGTGTTTGAATAAACACTTGAAACGAAATTTGACTATTGTCAAATTCTCTCTGATCCAAGGCAACTTGGATTGATTAAATTGGTCTTGTATCAAGCGTTTATTTGATGCTTGCCGGTAACTTTTTCGTTTTTCTCTGTGTGTCAACCAGTTTTAGACCCCGTTTTATTTTTTTGCTGTTTGTCATTTTACTGCGTATACGTGCTACATTTCCGCTGTTTTCCACTTTATAAGGTCCGTTTCGTTATGGAAGCATGCGGGTGTAGGGGCGAATGCCGCTTGCGGGAGCTCAAGCTGTGCTTTGCTGGTGACTGACGATTCTGGCGGCATGCAGTGCACAAATTTAACTATCTACTATCGATAGTGTGCTTTTATCTGCGTCAGTTGTCGTGGGCACCAAGTAGAAACGTTGTAGTCCTTGATGCCTAACTACCAA